CCCCCCCCCCCCCCCCCCCCCTGAGTCTGGGGAGGTGTGGTCCTGTTGGTGGTGGGGGCCGCAGCCCTCACCGCCAACAGCCGCAGCCCCGCTTCTGCTGCGGGGGCGATGGGGGCGGTATCATCACTGGCAGGTAGAACTGGGGTGGGGGTGGGGTTGGCTGGGGCCTCCTGCAGACCGCTCGGTGGCTCAGGGGCAGCGGCTCTATCACCGGCGGCAGCCCAGGGGGGGCGCGTGAACACGCGGCATCGGTCGTTTCTGGCTGCCGCCCCGCCGTCCTCCTTCTTGGCGCCGAGGGGGTCCTTGTGTTGGTCGGTGAACTGACCGTTGGACAGAGTTGATCATACGATAGACGGACTGCATGCACCAAACAGCAGACCAAGCAACGACACACACACACTACCACTCATTGTCTGTGTCTGTCTGTGTCTGTCTGTGTCTGCGCGTGTGGCATTCATTCTCCATCTCTCTGTCTGCGTACGAGCTCGCCGTCGTAGCCGAACTTGGTCAGATCGAAGCCGTCGGGGTGGTTCTTGCAGTAGTCTCTGCCGCCCCAGGGCGGGTCGAAATGGACCTGCACACACACACACACACACACATTCTGTCTGCGTGTGTGTGAGGGGGGGGGGGGCTGGGTGGCTTACGAGTGAGCAGTCGTCGCCTATCAGATCGTCTGTGACGTCGTTGAGCTCTTTGCTGCGCAACTCGTCAGCTGCACACACAGACACAGACACGTGTGTGTGTGGCGGGCGCCTTGACTGAAGCTCTTCCTTGCGCACCGTAGAGTCGGACATTATTGTCGGCATCCTCTTTGTGGAGGCGATTGGCCTCGACACCCACGACATTGAAGACACACGCGGACATTCCGAACAATGAGACAACAGAATATAAAATGTAGGCAGCGATGTTCATGGCGAGACCGCCCATTCGCTCAGCTCTGCAACATACAAACAGCGCATACCATCATGGCCACGTTCCTTCTCTGTGTGGGTCTGGCTGTCTGCGCACAAGTAGTTAGACGTACGTACCTGCTGCTCGAGCTCCTTTATTTTGGCTTTGAGGCCGACCTGCTGCTCTTCCAACTCCCGTAGCTTGGCTTTGAGGCCGCTGATGATATCCAACAACTTCTTCTGCTCGCAGGACACCACACACACGCACCCAGACAGACAGACAGACAGACAGACCGTATAGTCCTGAGTCCGCTGACATGTATGTGCCCACTTGGTTGGCCTGCGCTGTTTCTGCCATTTTCTTGTTTGATTTTAGTAGATTCTTGATACCCTCCACGGCCTCCTTCTGCATGTCCTGCCAAATGTAGCAGCTCTCTGCACGCCACACAGACAGTATACAGCGCGGCACGATGCAGGCAGGCAGGCAATGGGGGCGACGCTGTTGTTGGTTCTCACCTCTCGTATGCTCCCGCTCCTCATACAGCCTCAGCCATTCCCTCCTCACGACGAGCCCACTGGGGTCCTCCCTCTCATAACTGTCAAACTTTGCGACGCAGACACACATCATGGCCACGTTCCGTCACCCACAAAACACTTCTCCCTCCCGCCTTTGTTGCAGGGGTGCAACGTCTGACTCCCTCACTGCCGCATACACACTTACCCTCCACTATCTGCCGCTGCTTCTCGGCCTTCTGACGCCAGGCCCTCTCCAGGGGATCTGCTGTGGCTATGTCTGCCATCTCTCTCTGTGTCTGTGCAGTTGCAAAACACAATTCTCCTTATGTCGGCCGAGGGTGTCTGCATCTGCAGTGGCAGGGCTGGCCTGGGTGTCCATGTGGACGGCTGGCGGCGGGGGAGGGGGGGAGGGCGGCAGGGAGGCGGCAGTGGTGTTGGGTCTCACCGCGCCAGTGGTTTCTGGATTCGTACAGGCTGAGCAGCTGTTCGTCACTGTAGTTTCTCAGTTCTGCGACACACACATCCACACATCCCAACACACATTGCATTCATTGTACACATTGCATTTTGTGGGCACCTGGGTGATCTGCTGCCGCATGTGCAGGTGGGCCGGCTCGCTGGAGAGGGGGCGGTGACGCGGGGGGTGACGTGGTGCTGCTGGTGGCTGGCGACTGAGTGGACACAAACAAACAAACAAACAACAAAAGAGTGTGTTTGCCTATTTCTCTGTGTGGGTCTAACTGTCTGCCCACAAGTAGATAGACAGACGTACCCGCTGCTGCTCGAGCTCTGCTATTTTGGCCTCGAGGCCGTCAATCTTGTCAAGGAGCTTTCTCTGCACTCACCACATCACACCATGCAAACACACCCACCCACCCACCCAGACAGACAGACAGAGAGACAGACAGATGAGAAGGTGTGCCGTATAGGGCTGTGTCGCCACATATGTACCCACCTGGTTGGCGTTGGCCCTCTCACATATAGACTTCTTGCTCTTGAGCAGATTGCAGATGCCGTCCACAGCCCCGTTGTGCAGGTCCCGCAACGTCTTGCACCGCTCTGCACGCCACACAGACAGGACAATGCGACACGTATGGACGCAGGCAGGCAGGCAGTGGGTCCGATGCTGGTGTTGTGTTCTCACCAGACAGATACTTCCTGTCCTCGTACAGCTTGATGAGGGCCACGTCGTCGTATTTCCTTATCTCTGCAGCATACACAGACAGCGCATACCATCATGGCCACCTTCTGTTACCCACAGAGCAGAGCTCCTCCCTCCCTCCCGCCTCTCTTGCGAGTGTGCAACGTCACTCACTCCCCGCACAAATGCTCACCGGCCAGTATCTCCCCCTCCTCTGCCAGTGGCTCTTGCGGGCCGATGGTGGTCCAGTGGGGCCGCTGCTGGTGGCCCAGTCACGTCCGTCTGGAGGGCGGCTGCAGACAGACAGACAGACAGACAGATAACCACAGAGACAGCGCTTTCATTGCTTGGGAGTGTGTGGATTAGTGTGTGTGTGTTTGTGTGTGTACCTTTGGCTTGCAGGTCTTGGTAGTGCTGCACCGCCAGCTCATTGGGGTATCGCTTGACTGTGTTGACGCACTTCTCACCGCCTTGTTTCTTGCGCGGAAGCTGGCCTCTGAGCGCACCTCTGACCGGTCCCCCTCTCTTGGCAATCGGCCGACTTGTGCTAGTGATCATCATCCTGCCCCTCCCCTCGGCCCTCTCGCCACGCCCCTTGGTCACGGCCCGCTCCTCATCCCCTTTCTCCGTCGTCTGCTCTGTGCTGAGTGGGTCTGCATCGGGTGAAGCGTCGGGTGGCGAGGGGGCTGGGCTGGTGTGGACCTCTGATGCCTCGACTGTGTTGACGCCTTGATCCTTGGCCGCCACCTCCGTCTGGGTCTCCTTGGCGCGGAGAGATGTGGCCTGGTCGCCGACGGCAGTATCTGCAGTGGCAGGGCTGGCCTGGGCGTCCATGTGGACGGCTGGCGGCGGGGGAGGGGGGGAGGGCGGCAGGGAGGCGGGAGTGGTAGTGCTGCTGGTGCTGCTGGTGGCTGGCGACTGAGTGGACACAAACAAACAAACAAACAAGAAAAGAGTATGTTTGCCTGTTTCTCTGTGTGGGTCTAACTGTCTGGCCACAAGTAGATAGACGTACGTACCTGCTGCTCGAGCTCCTTTATTTTGGCCTCCAGGCGGTCTATAATCTTAAGCAGCTTTCTCTGCACTCAGGACACCACACCATACAAACGCACCCAGACAGACAGACAGACAGATGAGAATGTGTGCCATATACGGCTGTGTCGCCACATATGTACCCACCTGGTTGGCGTTGGCCCTCTCGCAGATGGACTTTCTGCTCTTGAGCAGATTGCAGATGCCGTCCACAGCCCCGTTGTGCAGGTCCCGCAACGTCTTGCACCGCTCTGCACGCCACACAGACAGGACAATGCGACACGTATGGACGCAGGCAGGCAGGCAGTGGGTCCGATGCTGGTGTTGTGTCCTCACCAGACAGATACTTCCTGTCCTCGTACAGCTTGATGAGGGCCACGTCGTCGTATTTCCTTATCTCTGCAGCATACACAGACAGCGCATACCATCATGGCCACCTTCTGTTACCCACAGAGCAGAGCTCCTCCCTCCCTCCCGCCTCTCTTGCGAGTGTGCAACGTCACTCACTCCCCGCACAAATGCGCACCGGCCAGTATCTCCCCCTCCTCTGCCAGTGGCTCTTGCGGGCCGACGGTAGTGCTTGGCCGACCCTTCTGCGATCCATGGGTGGCTGCACATCGTCCACTGAGGGTGCAGCACCTCCCAGTATCTGGCGCCTCTTCTCGGCCTTCTCGCGCCAGGCCCTCTCCTGCGGCTGCCATGTCTCTCTCTGTCATCTTGTGTCTGTGCAGTCGTTGAGGTCATCTCTCCTCCTCCTCCTCCTCCTCCTGCTGCTGCTGCTGCAAGGCGCCATCCACCACCAGACAAGAGACGGCAGAATATAAAATGTGGGCAGCGATAGTGATGGACAATCAGCCCTCTCCTGGGCCTTCAACTCCTTCACACCTGACACACACAGAGAGGGAGAGAAATGCTCATTCTGCAAAGCATTCACATTCTCTCTGCGTGTGTGCATGCGTACATGCGTCTTTCTCCGCTGTACGTCTGTGGAGCGGTGGGGCTGCTCTTGGACGGGGGGCGGGGAGGCGGGTGGTGAGGTGATGCTGCTGGCAACTGAGTGGACACAAACAAACAACAAAGGAGTGTGTGTGTTTGTTTCTCTGTGTGGGTCTAGCTGTCTGCCCACAAGTAGATAGACCTACCTGCTGCTGCTCCAACTCCTTTATTCTTGCCCCCAGGCCTTCTATCTCACCGAGGAGCTTCTCCTGCAGTCAGGACATCATACAAACGCATTCAGACAGACAGATGACAAGGTGTGCCGCATAGGAGTCCGCCGAAGGTGTCCACCCACCTCGTTTGACTTGGCCGTCTCCAGCAGCCCCTTCCTCGCAGACCCCCTCCATCGCCCCGTTGTGCAGGTCGTGGAGCTCATTGCAGAGCTCTGCAAGCCACACAGACAGCACACAGCTTCCTTGTATGGCAGGCAGTCGGTAGGGAATAGACTAAGTGTCGTTTGGCCCTCACCCTCAAAGAATTGTCTTTCCTCGTGGAGGCTGAGGAGCTGCTCGTCGTCGTACTGCCTCAGCTCTGCAACATGCACACACACGGCGCATACCATCATGGCCACGTTCGGTTTCACACAAAACGCTCCCATATTTCTTCGCTGGCGTCTCTTGCAAGTGTGCAGCGTCAGTGACCTCCACACACAGGCTCACCGTTCAGCAGCTGGCGCCTTTTCACGAAGTGTTGGGCAAAGGCTCTCTCAAGGCCAGCGGCAAACGACATCCTATCTTCTCCTCACGGCCCCTGGGTGATCTGCTCCCGCATCTGCAGGTCGGCCTTCTCGCTAGAGGGGAGGGGCGGGGAGGGAGCGGTGGTGGTGCCACTCGGTGACTGTCGACTGGGGACACACAAACAAACATTGAAAGAGTGTGTGTCTCTTTCTCTGTGTGTGTCTGGCTGTCTGGCCACAAGTAGATGAACGTACCTACTGCTTCAACTCCCGTATTTTGGCTTTGAGGCCGCTGATGATATCGAGCAGCTTCTTCTGCAGTCAGGACACCATACACACGCACCCAGACAGACAGATGAGAAAATGTGTGCCGTATAGGAGTCCGCTGACATGTATGTGCCCACCTCGTTCGCCCGTGCCGTCTCTGCCATATTCTTGTTTGACTTGAGCAGTTTCTTGATGCCCTCCACCGCCCCCTTGTGCATGTCCTGCCAAATGTAGCAGCTCTCTGCGCACCACACAGACAGTATACAGCGCGCATGCAGGCAGGCAGGCAATGGGGGCAACGCTGTTGTTGGTCCTCACCTCTCGTATGCTCCCGCTCCTCATACAGCCTCAGCCATTCCCTCCTCACGATGCGCCCAGTGGGGTCCTCCCTCTTATAACCTTCAAACTCTGCGACACAGACACACATCATGGCCACGTTCCGTCACCCACGAAACACTTCTCCCTCCCGCCTTTGTTGCAAGGGTGCAACGTCTGACTCCCTCACCGCCGCATTCACGCTTACCGCTCAGTGTATGGCGCCTCTTACATGCTGCGGACGACTGTGAGTCCACGCGGCCATTTCTTTCTCTGACGGACTCTCCTTTTCCCTGAACTTGCAGATGCCTCCTCCTCGTCGATCTCATCGTGCTCGTCCTTAGACAGCATGTGACACACGCACACAGAAGCACACAGAGAAAGAGGGCAGGCGCATCGCATGTGTGGCCGTCTTTGTGCGGTGCTATTTGGCTTCAGCCACTTACAGCGATAGTCGATTTGGTTTTCTTGGCCTCGGCCACCATGTCGGCCACCAGCTTCTGTGCGATGTGTAGGCGGGCCTTGTTGGTGTGATACCCGACCACCTGCACCACACACATCCACTCGCACACACAGCCATCCAGCCGCCCTGTGTGTGTGTGTGTGTGCTCACGGCTGTGTAGAGACGGTCTCCTACCCTACGGTCTCCGGTGAGGGCTGGGCTTTATCTGGGCTTCGTATGGCGCGCGCCAATCGTCGAACTGCTTCTTGAGGGTGGGGTCCAGTGACTCGATCTTCTCCATACGGCAACAGAGGTCCTGGTCCAGCTTGATGACCTACCACACACACACAGCATGGTGCCGTCAGCGTGTGTGGCGGTGACTCTCTCAATCGCTCACCGTGTTGCATAGTTCGGCGTACTTGTTGAGTGCCCGCATGGCGGCGGCGGCGGAGTTCTCGGACTCTGTCAGACACAATACATCCACACACACATGACCTCACTTAACACGACCGCCGTCCCCCACCAGTCGAGTTCTTGGCCGTTTCTGCACACAGATAGCAGTCAACACAAAGATATCCGCACGTGTGTTGTTTTGAGGTGGGGTGGGGTGAGGTGGTTTGACACTCACTGAGGATGTGTGCGGCGTGGTGGGTGATGTCGGCGTCGTCACTGCCGAGGCCGCTCTACTGCATCACCGCCGATCGGCGCGGGCCTTGTCCACCTCGGCGAGCATGGCGAGCAGCTGCTAAAGCTGATCGCGGGCCTAGTTGAATGCCTCGTTGAACTCTGAGAACATACAAGACACACACACACAGACGTGCATAAGCGTGTATCTTTCTTTGATGCATTCACCAACCCACCCAACCCACCTCCTCCTTGGCGCCGATACGGGGCTGGCTAACCTTCTTGTCGTCCTTGTGTTGGCCTTCAGATGCTCCACCTGCCGCACCGACACTCCAAACAATGAGACGGCAGAATACAAAATGTGGGCAGCGATATTCGTGGATAATCAGCCCTCTCCTGAGCCTTCAACTTGTTCACACCTGACACACACAGAGAGGGAGAGAAATGCTCGTTCTGCAAAGCATTCACATTCTCTCTGCGTGTCTTGACACCCAGTGCGATCGGCTCTGCCGGCATCCGCTCATCTGCCGATGGTGGCCCCATAGGGCCCTGGTGGTTGAGCAGCTGCTGCAGGGGGTGCAGATGATGAGCGGCCGATCTTGCCCGCGGCCGCGGCGGCCAGTGTACAGGATGGATTCATCTACCAAATCAGATTTGCAGAGGCAGCCTGTGTATGTGTGTCTGTGTGTTTGTGCGTGTATGCTCACGACAGTGCAGAGTTTCTGTGGGGTTGTGTCGTCGAAGGGGCAAGGGCCGTCCGACCAGCATCAGGTCTCTACATGTACTACACGCAGTAACGCACAAGCGGGGAGGCCAGGGCATCCACCTGGATGTGTGTGTGTGTGTGTCAGTTGTCTGCGTACAGGCAAACGCCAGCGGCCCAGATGTCGCCGGCAGGGCTCCACTTGCTCGCCCAGTCTGCCAGGTAGACCTCAGGGGCCTGACGCAACGAATACAGGACAAGAGATTAGATACATGGACACATGCGTGAGGTCTGTTGTGCTTCGCTCCCCTGCAAACTCACTCGGAAGCCGTCAGCACCAGGGAGGAAGCTCGTGGGTGGCGGCGGACGGTTGACGAATACACACGAGTCGAAGTCGACCAGTATGGCCCCCTGATCGGTCAGGACGATGTTGTTGGGCTTGACATCCCGGTGCACCAACTGACACATGCACCCGCACACACAGATAGGCCTGCCTATCTTCCGACCAGCACCCACCCCACCACCCCCGACCTCCCCAGCGGCCACCTGTCCGGTGTATAGGGTGTCGAGCGCCGTCAGCAGCCCAAACGCTATCTCCTTACACATGGCGTCAGGCACGCGCCCCCCGACCTTCGTCAGGTCCTTGACAACCTTGGCCATCGTCTCGCCCTGGGCGTGCCCCATCACGATATAGAAGTACAACGAGTCCTCCAGCACCTTCACACACGAGAGGTGCAGGTTGACTCATGGACAGATATGCTTGTGCACTGACCTCGATGACCTCTGCCAGATAGGGAGAGTTCCACTTAGAGACGGCCTCGTAGACCTGTTGCGTGTACCAGGGTGGCGCCACCGGCCTGATGGATGGATAGGTAGAAGCAGCCACATGCAGTCAGTCGTGGCACACTCAGGCGGCTGCTATGCGGGCTCACTGCTGCTGCATCTTGTTGAGCCGTTTGATGAGAACTGGTAGCATTGTGTCCATCCTCTTGCCCCGCCAGAGGTTCCCATAGCTGCACTCACACACACACACACACACACACACCGGTTTTTTTGTGGCTGTGCGGTGTGGGGAGACGGGGGGCGGGGAGGGAGCGGTGGTGGTGCCACTCGGTGACTGTCGACTGGGGACACACAAACAAACATTGAAAGAGTGTGTGTCTCTTTCTCTGTGTGGGTCTGTCTGTCTGGCCACAAGTAGATGAACCTACCTGCGGCTCCTCCAACTCCCGTATTTTGGCCTTCAGGCCACTGATGATATCCAGCAGCTTCTTCTGCAGTCAGGACACCATACACACGCACCCAGACAGACAGATGACAAGGTGTGCCGTATAGGAGTCCTGACATGTATGTGCCCACCTGGTTCGCCCGCGCCGCCATATTCTTGTTCGACTTGAGCAGCTTGTTTATGCCCTCCACCGCCCCCTTGTGCATGTCCTGCCAGATATAACAGCTCTCTGCACGCCACACAGACAGTATACAGCGCGCGTGCAGGCAAACAGGCAATGGGGGCGACGCTGTTGTTGGTTCTCACCCCTCGCATGCTCCCGACCCTCGTACAGCCTAAGCCATTCCCTCCGCAGCACTCGCCAATCGTCTTGCTCAGCCTCGTCTTTCCTCCTGTAACTTTCGAACTCTGCGACACACACACACACATCATGGCCACGCTCCGTCGCCTACAGAACAGAGCTTCTCCCTCCCGCCTTTGTTGCAGGCGTGCAACGTCTGACTCCCTCACCGCCGCATACACACTTACCCTCCAGTATCTGCCGCCTCTTCTCTGCCTTCCGGCGCCAGCTTGGTCTGCACTCAGGACACCACACACACGCACCCAGACAGACAGATGAGAAGGCGTGCCGCATAGTGTTCTCCTCTTCCGCTGCGGGGGCGATGGGGGCCGTAGCATCAAATAGAACTGGGGTGGTGGTGGTAGTGGTGGTGGTGGCTGGGGCCTCCTGCAGACGGCTCGGTGTCGCAGGGGCAGCGGCTTCATCACCGCGGCGGCAGCCAGGGGGGGCGCCACAACCACGCGGTATCGAGCCGCGAGTTTGGCGTCGTTTTGGGCTGCCGTACCGCCGTCCTCCTTCTTGGCGCCGAGGGGGTCTTTGTGTTGTCGGCGCACCATATCCTCCTGCTGATGAAAGGCCGGACATCGGTGTGGTGTTCGTCTGTGTCTCTGGCGTACGCACCTGTCTGAGAAGGTCGGGGCCGCTGGGGAGGGGCGGGATGGTACACTGCAGACAAGAGACGGCAGAATATAAAATGTGGGCAGCGATAGTGATGGACAATCAGCCCTCTCCTGGGCCTTCAACTCCTTCACACCTGACACACACAGAGAGGGAGAGAAATGCTCATTCTGCTAAGCACTCACATTCCCTCTCCCTCTCCCTGCCATGCAATGAAATGCATGGAATGGGATGATAGTGTCATGCTTCTGTCTTGGTCGTCAAGTCCTGACACAGGCAGACAGGACCACATAGAGAAAGAGGGAAGACGCATCACATATGTGGCCGTTCTGTGTGGTGCTATGATGTGGCT